AGTATTACATTTTTTTATTTTGGTCATACAGTTTATACTCTTGTGACTAGGAGTATTACATTTTTTTATTTTGGTCATACAGTTTATACTCTTGTAACTAGGAGTATTACATTTTTTTAAGAGTAAAACTTCTTGAGGAACTTTCCATTAATGGGACCAATCTGTAGACCATCTTTGTCAACAATCTTGTAGGCACCATTACTGTAAACTTCTGTCACGATATAAGGACCATCCCATTTTGAAGTAAACTTGCCCCCTGAATGACGAGTGATGACAATTGGCCTTCGAACAGCTAACACCACATCTCCAACTTGAAATGCCCTTAGTCGGACCTTCTTGTTGAACGCCCTGGACAATCTGGCTTGATAACACTCTAAGTGTTGTTGGGTCTCCAATCTTTTCTCATCTAAGGCTTCTAGTTCTTGGAGACGAAGCTTGGCATTTTGTTCATCAGTAAGACCTTCTTGAATGGCGATCCTGAGAGATGGAATTTGGCATTCCAAAGGGAGAACAGCTTCAACTCCATACACAAGGGAATAAGGAGTTGCTTTTGTTGGAGTTCGATGAGTCGTTCGATATGCCCAAAGTGCTTCACCAATTCTTTCATGCCAATCCCGCTTGGACTTTGAAACAACCTTCTTAAGGAGATTGCAAAGGGTTTTATTAAACGCTTCTGCTAGTCCATTTGCAGCAGCATTGTACATGGAGGAAAAATGTTGGGCAAACTTGAACTTTGAACATAGCTTGTCCATGAGACTGTTGGCAAAGGGCTTGCCATTATCTGTAATTATGTACCTTGGAACACCATACCGATAGATGATATTGACTCGAATGAAGTCAACAACATTTTCTTTCTTGACTTCTCTCAAAGGTACAGCTTCCGCCCATTTGGAGAAGTAATCAGTTGCTGCCAGGATATATGCATGCCCGGCTGAAGATTTTGGTGTTATGGGTCCAATCACATCTAAACCCCAAGCATGAAAGGGCCATGATGCTATTGTTGGATGTAAAGGCTCCGGTGGCTGATGGATAAAGTTTGCATGAAATTGGCATGCTTCACATTTCTTCGCATATTCCATGCAATCCTTTACCATTGTTGGCCAGTAGTATCCCATTCTTCTTATTCGGTAGTGAAGCTTTGGACTAGACTGATGAGCTCCACAAATTCCAGAATGCGCCTCCTCAACCACTTGGGATGATTCATCTCCATCCAAACATCTAAGGAGAACTCCATCAAAAGATCGCCGATAGAGGGTGTTACAAAAGTAAACAAAGCGTAGAGCCCTCCTCCGAATTGTGGATTTTTGGCGTGGATCATCTGGTAGTTTTCCATGTTCCAAGTAATTGATGATTGGTTGTCTCCAGTCTTCTTTCTCAATGACACATACTGAAAGAACATTGCTTTCTGCATCTTCAGATCTCAAATGAGGTGAAATCCATCGTTGCGACACAAAAATAGTGACTTCTTGATTATCGAGACTTGCAATGACAGCAGCTAAATTAGCCAAAGCATCTGCTTGCTTGTTTCGACTTCTAGGAACGTGGGCAATTAAGACATGATCAAATTTCTCAAGGAGTTGAGAGGCATATTGGAAGTATGGGACAAGTTCTGGTTTTCGAACATCAAACTCCTTCATGAGTTGATTCACTACCAAGCTTGAGTCCCCATAAACATTGAGTTGATAAATTTGCATTTCAAGAGCCATCTCCAAACCCACAATCAAGGCTTGATATTCAGCAACATTATTGGAGCATTGTTCTCTTAAAGAGAAAGAGAATGGTATTACTTCATTTTTTGGTGTTACAAACACCACGCCAACCCCAGCACCATCTCTTCTTGATGCTCCATCGAAGTAAAGCTCCCATGATGGCAATACATCTACAAAGAACACCTCCTCATCTGGAAGATCCTTTGACAACTCCCATTCAGTTGGAATTGGATGATCTGCAAGAAAATCAGCTAAGGCTTGTCCTTTTATCGCCTTTTGTGGCACATAAATTATTTCAAATTCAGACAATAATAATGCCCATTTTGCTAATCTACCAGAGAGCACCGGCTTTGACATGATGTATTTTAAGGGGTCTGCTTTTGAAATAAGATGTACAACATGAGCCAACATATAATGTCTCAATTTCTTCGTAGAGAAGATCAAGGCTAGATAAATCTTCTCAATGGGTGAGTAATTCACCTCTGCCCCTACGAGAGTGCGGCTCAAATAATAGAGAGCATTTTCTTTTCCTTCTTCATTGACTTGTGCCAGCAATGCTCCCAAGGAATATTCTTGTGCAGCAATATAAAGGATCAATGGTCTCCCAAGAATGGGTGCAACAAGAACTGGAGGGTGAAGGAGGTATTCCTTAATGCTTTCAAAAGCATTTTGACATGCTTCATCCCATACAAATGGTGCATCCTTCTTCATTAACTTGCTAAATGGATGACACCGTCCAGCAAGGTTTGAAATGAACCTGCGAATGTAAGCCAGCTTGCCTTGGAGACTTTTTAGCTCTCAAAGATTTTTCGGGGGTGGCATGCTTACAATTGCTTCTATCTTGGATTGATCAATTTCAATACCTCGATGCCTCACAATAAACCCTAGAAATTTGCCAGAGGAAACACCAAAGGCACATTTTAATGGATTCATTTTTAGCTGGTACTTGCGAAGTCTCTCAAACACAACTTTCAAGTCATTGAGGTGGTCATCACGTCTCTCAGATTTAACAACCAAATCATCGACATAACATTCAACCAGCTTATGCAACATATCACTAAAAATCATTTGCATTGCACGCTGGTAAGTGGCTCCGGCATTTTTCAACCCAAATGGCATAACTTTATAACAGTAAATACCCTTTGGTGTTCGAAAAGCTGTAAGCTCTTCATCCTTAGGATCCATGCGAATTTGGTTGTAACCAGAGAATCCATCCATAGAGGACAAAACTTCATGCCCCATGGTTGCATCCACCATGAGCTCTATGATCGGAAGCGGAAAATCATCTTTTGGGCACGCTTGGTTTAGATCATGAAAATCTACACATATCTTGAGTTGTCCATTCTTTTTACGAACTGGAACAATGTTCGCAATCCAGGATGGATAATGGACCTCCCGAATGAAGCTGGCTTCAATCAACTTATCAACCTCAGCTTCAATTTGTGGGATGAGGTCTGGACGAAAACGCCACTGCAACTGCTTCACTGGGCGTACCCCATGCTTCACGGCTAGACGATGAACAGCTACTTTTGGGTCTAAGCCTGGCATCTCTTTGTAAGACCATGCAAACACATCCTTGTACTCATCAAGTAGTTGCACATATCTTACTTCTTCCTCCAAACTCAACGATGCACTAAGAAAAATGGGTCTTGGATCATCCTCTGTACCCAAGTTCCGTTGCTTTAGCTCGTCAGTAGTAGCTTGTCCCCCCTCCTCAAAGGCTTCTGGGGCTGGATTTGGTTCTTCATCTGAAGAATCAGAGTCAGAAATTTTCTCAATTGAGACATGGTTTGATTCAGCTGCCTTTTGTTCCTCAACGGAAGGCTTTGAGATCTCTTGCCCATCAAGGACGTCTTTACGCCTCCATTGATACTTCTTTCTTTGCATAGACTTGATCTTGTTCTTCTGAACTTTCTGACTCTTAGATGTTTTCTTTCTGTTTTGCTGCTTAGCACCAAGTCTAGAAAAGACTGAAGGTTTTTGAGAATGA